GTACGTCTTAGGTGTGATTTGGGTTAATGTGTGGTCGTGGATACCAGTGGTTTATGTTAAGGAAAATGAAACTTTTTGGATTTTCGTCACGGTACGGTAAGGTGAAAGTGCTTCTTGTGAGGGATTCAAGTTGACTCCAGAATGTGTATGTGATTTTATACACGTATTTCGATTTTTTTATTTGAAGATAATGTCGTTTAAAGTTGCAGATTTTTTAAAAATTAATTTCATAAAACATTAGGATGTACGTGATTCTATAATTTAAAAAAGAACACATTACAATGAAAAACGAAATGAACTACAAACTAATTGTTCATTATTACATACCCAGTTGAAAGGAAAGCTTTGTCCATAAAATAAAAAAGATGTCTACACAAAATTAAATGTATATTCCACATACAAGAGTCAAACCCTAGTAAAAAAAAGACAACCACTTCATTGCAAAAAAAAAAAAAAAAGAAAAAAGAAAAAAAAATCACATACACAAAAATAAATAAATAAAATATTAATGAAGAAATATTAGAGATTCCAGCGCTGTGGTCGAAGGAACGGCCAAGCAATCCTGTGTTGCAGTCTGCCGTCCCATGAGTAGTTACTAAGGTCATGTTAATTAAGTTCCTCCAAGTCTGAAAGCTTCATCTTAACGCAGGTTGCCTTAATGCAAGCAGAATGGAAGCTTATATAGGACGAGGTTTTTCAAGGGAGGAAGAAGGGGGGGGTGGAGGCCTATAATTTGCCAGCGGACTACATAATTGGGGCAGTTTTGGGTGGCTTAATGAGGCGTTTGGGGGAGGAATTACGCTCGTTGCAGATTAGGCCAGAGGGAGTTAAGGGTGGGGGGGAGGTAGGAATGGTGAGGGGGAAGGGGGGAAAAGGGAAAGGGGAGGTCACACACGAAGCAGTGTGGTGGCTTGCAATTTTTTCCGGAACAAAAATAGATCAATAAATGAAGAATAAAAAGGCGTATATATATGTATATATTTATATATATTATGGAATAAGTAAATACGTCAAAAAAAGGAACGAAAATATACCAAGTTGACCTATTCGCTCATGTCTGAAAGTGACACTATCGGGTTCCTCATAAACCGTATCATTTTCTGAAACGATGTGATTGCTATAAAAAAAAGTAAATGGAGCAGTCGGTGCCTTTTTTTTTGCACGTCATTTTGCAGGCGGTGCTATGCTGTCGGCCGCCCACGTCGCCAGCTATTGGAGTTTGTGTGTGCTGGCCTATTTGTGATTGACGCGCGATATTGCGGGGAAATGATTCAGGCGCGATGACGTCATGGCGAAGGATTTGCGTTGAATTCTTAGAGAGGAATATACGTATATATATGTGTGTGTGTGTGTGTGTGTGTGTGTGTGTGTGTGTGTGTGTGTGTGTGTGTGTGTGTGTGTGTGTGTGTGTGTGTGTGTGTGTGTGCGTGTGTGTGTGTGTGTTTTGTTATTTGAGTCTCTCGGGAACGTGTTGTAAACTGTTGTTCAATAAACATTCTTTTTTCTCGGATGTATTAAACATCGAACCGACCTATTTTATAAAGTCGAGGCATTGCACGTATAACATTTCCATGTCGCGAGATATCACCGTAATTTCATCGTCCTGTCCAAGTTGCAAGAGCGAGTGCGTTGGGACGATACCAAGCATTACTCCGCGATCTGGTTTGCGATGATGGTGTGCTGGAGAGTTCGATGATGCCCTAAGTTGTGATCTCGCTGCCTCTGCCCGGGAGTCGGGTCTTGCGTTCGGTTTCCCGCGATTACAATATTTGTGTGTATGGATATATATATATATATATATATATATATATATATATATATATATATATATATATATTTGGGTATGTATATTGTGTGTGTGTGTGTGTGTGTGTGTGTGTGTGTGTGTGTGTGTGTGTGTGTGTGTGTGTGTGTGTGTGTGTGTGTGTGTGTGTGTGTGTGCGCGCGCGGGCGTAGATAGAGAGATAGATAAATAAATATATATAGATATCTGTGTGTGTCTGTAGATGGATGGATACATGCATGCATGGATAAATATGCCCACACGAACATATATACTTGATATATATATATATATATATATATATATATATATATATATATATATATATATAATGTATGTATGTATGTACACACACACACACACACACACACACACACACACACACACACACACACACACACACACACACACACACACACACACACACACACACCATACAAATATCCTTATACGTCCGCACATAACAAACACCAAAACAAAATCTACCTCCTCCCTGTCACTGCCGCCGCCGCTGTTCTTACCGATTACCTTCCTCATAAAAAAAAAAAAAAAAATCATCACGTGCACGATTTTAGCAATTATGTTAATGCTTGCGGATCACGGCGATTACGCACAACCGCCACCGTCTTATTATCTTGTGCAATGCTGAGGGCGCCCCTGACGCTGTTGCACATGTTGATGGGGGGGGGGAGAAGGGAGGGGGGGGGAGGAAGTTGAATGTAATTGATTCGTCAGCGTTATTATCATTACGGGCTTTGTAATTAGTCCCGATCGAGGGTGGCATCCCTGCTGCAGTGGTGGTTGCAGCCGTGGGAGGTGTGGAATCACGGAGGAGGGAGGAGGAGGAGGAGGAGGAGGAGGAGGAGGAGGAGGAGGAGGAGGGAGGAGGAGGAGGAGGAGGAGGAGGAGGAGGAGGAGCAGCAGCAGCAGGAGCAGGAGCAGGAGCAGCAGGGTGGATGGGGAGGAGGAGGGGTGGAGGAGGAGGGTGAAGGAGGAGGGAGGAGGAGGAGGGAGGAGGAGGGGGGTGGAGGAGGGAGGGTGGAGGAGGAGGAGGAGAAGGAGGAGGGTGGAGGAGGAGGAGGGGGGGTGGAGGAGGAGGGAGGGGGGAGAAGGAGGAGGGAGGGGAGGAGGAGGAGGAAGGGGAGGAGGAGGAGGAAGGGGAGGAGGAGGAGGAGGAGGGGGGGGTGGAGGAGGAGGAGGAGGAGCAGGACAAGTTGGAAAACTATGAAGGGGGGGGGGAGGTGGAAGGAGTGGATGAGGGGGAAGAGGGAGAAGGGGAAATGGAGGAGTAGAATGGGAAAGAGAATAAGAATAAGAAGAAAAAGAAAAAGAAGTGAGAAGGGGGGGAGGAGAGAGGAAGACAGCAACAGGGTGACAGGTTGATTAAGCCAGCGATATTTTCACGTCGTTGCACTAGCCACTGCGTTTATTATTATATTTTAAGTAGCATGCAAGACCGGGGCCATTATAACATCAGAATGACGTTGATTATTAATAAATGTTGGTATTATTGACCTGGTTATTTTCACCACTACTATCAGTATCATAAACTATTATTAAGATCCTCATTATGGCCAAGTTATTTATCATGCTAAATGCTTGTATCTTTATTCACATTAGTATCTCCTTTCTGTGGCTGTCTGGGTTTATAGTGAGGGATGATATCGAGAGCAGAATAGTGAATAGGGAAGTGATAATACGATAGTAAAGCGATGCAGCTAAAAGAATATTAATATTAGAAGATTAAAATTAAGATTAAAAGACGCTATGAAGATCATTAGATCATAAAAAAAAAGAAAAAATGATGGGTAATGGAAATATAAAAGCTTCGTTTGAGAAAAATAAATGGCACTTAAAAATCTGAATCACATTGAGGAGAGGGTTAGATATATTAAAGACAGATGTGGTTAATGTCTGTCTGTCCGTCCATCCATCCACCCATCCACCATCCCCCTCCCTCCCTCCCTCCCTCCCTCCCTCCCTCCCTCCCTCCCTCCCTCCCTCACTCACTCACTCACTCACTCACTCACTCACTCCCTCACTCACTCACTCACTCACTCTATCTGTCTGTCTATCTGAAGATATACTTATATGCATATACATTCTATGTAAATTACTCTTTCCCCTTACGTTGAACATAGACCCGATCTTTAAAAAAAACACACAATAAAGCCGTCAAAACCAACCCTGAATTAAACTAAAATACTCTAACCCTAAAACTAAACCTTAAAACTAAAATCTTAACGAAGCACAATCTCCGATGTGTGTTCGTCCTTACAGGCTCGATAAACTTCACCAAGACGAGGTCGTACGAGTAGAGGTAAAGGAATATGCAAATGAATGTTTTTCTCTCTCTCTCTTTTTTCTCTCATTCTCTTTTCTTTTTTCTTTTTTTTCCCTCTTTTTCTTTTTTCTTCTTCTTATTTAGGGCTTTCCTTCACATAAGCAACTCTGGGGTCGGAGCGATGGATATGATCTCCCGTGTCGACAAGAGAGCTCTGTGTAATTACGCCGTGTTTTGAGCCTTAAGTACTGATGTAAAAGAGGTTCTGCGTGGTCATTGTGTGCACTCTTGAGCCCCGTGTAGAGTGTGGGTCGCCGGGACGAAGAAAGGGTATATGAATGGGTTTGTTTAGGGGCAGGGTATGTGTGTGGGAGATGAGGGGGGGAGGGAAGGAGGGAGGGAGGAAGGGAAGGAGAGAAGGGGTAGGAGGGAGGGAGAGAGGGAAGGAAGGAGGGAGGGAGAGAAGGGGTGGAAGGGTAGGAGGGAGGGAGAGAAGGTAGGAGGGAGGGAGAGGGGGTAGGAGGGAGGGAGAGGGGGTAGGAGGGAGGGAAAGGGGGTAGGAGGGAGGGAGTGGGGTAGGAGGAGGGAGAGGGGGGTAGGAGGGAGGGAGGAGGGAGAGTGAGGGAGAATGAGTGAATGAGGGAGTGAGTGAATGAGCGAACCGAGTGAGTGAGAGACTGTGAATGAATAAGTATTGAGTGAGGGAGTAAAAAGATGAAGAAGCTCTATACGAGAGAAGACCAAAGAATAACTAAATAGTCGAATGAATGAAAAGATGAATTGATTGGCGGAGTGAGTGGATGGACGGAAGACCGAGTAAGTGAGTAGTATTTAAGCGAATAAATGAATGAAAAAACACAAGAATTCAAGAAAAAGAAAGAAGGAAAGAAGGGAAAAATACAGGAGAATAGACAAAACACAAAACAAGTATAT